AGGTTTTGACGAAAATAAATTAAATGCACAGATTGTAAATTTAAGGCAGATTCTAAATATAAATTTGATGAAAATATGGATGATGGAATAGCTAAGGGGTTTTTCTCCACACATGTCACACTTGCATACAAGATGATTTTCAGTTGGTCTTTCGATGAATTATGAAACTCAACACTCCGGGTTAATTAGGTCCGCTTAAATTAACCGTCAAGTTCTCCTTAAGTTAATGAATTGGATGGGTTAGCGCAACGCAATTCAAAACATTCTCCAAAAGTCCTTTACGTGAAAAGCACAATAAAGATACAATCACAGATCATTAAGCATCATGAAAACTATAAGTGTTGACGAGGCATTCGTTACTATGATGAGCATGAAACTAGTGCCAAGAATTCATTCAACGCGATTGTTTATAAGCAACCTCCACTACTTGTGAATATAAGTTCATAACTATTAGGTGAAACTCACTTATATTCTAGCGTCAAATTCCTGCATGAACATTAAGCGTGCACTCTCAATAAACATACATAAATAAGTTATCAATCAAACAGTTAAACAAATTGAATCCACAACTTATGAAATTCCAACCAAATGTAATCAATTCATATTGCAAGCATAAACATGGTTTCGAATCACCCCCTAGCTAAATAGGGGTTTAGCCTCTCATGTTCACAGAAAGAGAAATAAAATTGAATTTAAACATAAAGAACAAAGGATGGATTACACCTAGAACGCCCAACGAATCCACTTGAATTTCTGCACGTCTAAGCCCTCCTTCTTCTTCTCCTTGCTGCGGCAGTGAGGTTAAATGGATGATTTGGATGTTATTTTGGGTTGGGGATGGATTTAGGGAGGATTGGTGGTGCGGCAATGGTGGGAAGTGTGTGGAATATGGCTGGAATGGAAGAAAAAATGGAATGGGAAGCTACGGCAGAAAAGAATTATGGGATATGGTGCTGCGGCTGTTGGGAATTATGGGAGAATTTGGGAGAGTATTAGGTTACGGTTTGAAAAATGAATGGGAGGAAAAGGGGTGACGGCTTAGGGAATTAGGGTGCATGATTATGGAATGCACGGCAAAGGTCAGAAAATAAAATGGGATGGTAGTGACGGCTAGGCTTTTTAGGGTGAATAATCAAGAGTTTTTTATGGTGAATGGCTGAAATCTCTAGGGTGAAAATTAGGTGCGGCTTAGATTCCTTTTTAGTTTATTAGGGTCCAATATTAATGGGAGGCCACGGCTAGAAAGGCAAAATAGGTTTTGTGGCTGCATGATGCGAGAAAAAGGATGGGGTTTTGCGGCTAGGTTGAAATTAGGGTCACCAAAATAAAATGGGAGGCCACGGCTTAGTAAAAGAATTAGGTTTTTGTGGCTGTTTTGTTTTATCATATTTTTTTTTTGCTGAAAAATATGAAAAGAAAAATAATAAGAGATCCCTAAGGTGCGGCTAAATGGTGGAAACCCTAGGGCTTAGAAATTCAAACCCTCTTTTTTTTTTATTAACTAAAATTCACCTAAAGGCTGCTAGAATTTAGGAAATAAAATCAGAAATTAAAGAGGGAATAATTAAAGGGTGCGGCTAGGGTTAGGTTAGGAGAGGGAAATAGGGTTTAATTGCACAACATTGGACAAAAGTGCCCCCTTGCACGGCAAGGGAAGGGAAAAGGTTGTGTAATTGGGCTAGGGCCTTGGTTTTGTGTCCTAAAATACGGACGTTTAAGTTTAGGAAAGGTTACCAAAACGGGAAACTTAGGGTTAACTTTCCCACATCAAGTAGGAAACCTTGTTTGAGTAGGATTCCTCGTTTTGGTAAGAATTCATCGTTGGAGTAGGAATTCGTCGTTTCTTCAAGTCTTCAACTCATTCATTCCTCTTTCGCTCCAAAAGACTCCAATTTGCATCTTCTTGCACACTTTGGCCTTATAATCTGAAAATACACAAAAGTGGCCTTAAACACTAAAATAGATAAGTAAACACAACATAAATGCACGAGAACAAGCTAATTAAGTCGCATGAATATGCTCCTATCACATAGCCCTGGCTTAACTCCACCATAGCACAATATTGTTCACCTTAGGCCCTGACCACGCCCTCACGGTTTTGTTTCTGGGAACACACGTGAGTGGAACTTCCTAATGGGTCACCCATCTTGGAATTGCTCTAGCCCATTCTCGCTTAACTTCGGAGTTCCTACGGAACCCCAAGCCAGTGAGCTCCCAAAAGACCTCGTGCTAGGAAGAGATGGGAATATACATATAAGGCTTACAGGATCCACTCCCTTGGGCGATGTGGGATCTAACAATCCACCCTCCTTAGGAGCCCAACGTCCTAATCGGCACACTTTCGGTCAGGGATTGTGTTAGATCCCACATCGTCAGGGTGGTGGATCCTCTATGCCCTATATGTACAAGCCCACTTCCTTTAGCACGGGGCCATTTAGGAGCTCACTGGTTTCGTGTTCCATCGAAACTCTGAAGTTAAATGAGTTCGCGCGATAGCAAACCCAAGATAGGTGACCCACTGGGAAGTTCTCGTGTGAGTTCCCAGAAACAAAACCATGAGGGCATGGTCGGGGCCTAAAGCGAACAATATCGTGGTACGGTGGAGTTGGGCCCGGGATGTGACAATTTGGTATCAGCCAATCCCTAGCTGGAAATATGTCGACGAGGACGTCAGGCCCCTAAGGGGGGTGGATTGTTAGATCCCACATCGCCCAGGAGAGTGGATCCTCTATGCCTTATATGTACAAGCCCACCACTTTTAGCATGAGGCCTTTTGGGAGCTCACTGGCTTCGGGTTCCATCGGAACTCCGAAGTTAAGCGAATTCGTGCGAGAGCAAACCCAAGATGGGTGACCCACTGGGAAGTTCTCGTGTGAGTTCCCAGAAACAAAACCGTGAGGGCGTGGTCAGGGCCCAAAGCGGACAATATCGTGGTACGGTGGAGTTGAGCCCGGGATGTGACAATTTGGTATCAGCTAATCCCTAACCGGAAATATGCTGACGAGGACGTCAGGCCCCAAAGGGGGGTGGATTGTTAGATCTCACATCGCCCAGGGGAGTGGATCCTCTATGTCTTATATGTACAAGCCCACCTTCTTTAGCATAAGGCCTTTTGGGAGCTCACTGGCTTTGGGTTCCATCGGAACTCCGAAATTAAGCGAGTTTGCGTGAAAGCAATCTCAGGATGGATGACCCACTGGAAACTTCTCATGTGAGTTCCCAGAAACAAAACTGTGAGGGCGTGGTCGGGGCCCAAAGTGAACAATATCATGCTATGGTGGAGTTGAGCCCACGATGTGACAATTTGTTTTTGGTGATTTTTTGCGTATGCGATCTCGGAGTATATACAAACAAGTTTGAGAGGTGGATTGTTTAAATTGATTTTGGAGACTGCAAAAATCATCGAAGGAATTAAATATGTCACGTCCCTCACCTTTGCTTGACAAAATAGTATATTTTGCCCTACAAATTATAGACCTTAAATCATAAATAGACCTTTATGAGACAAAACCCAGGTGATTCGTCGCGCAAAGGTTGCCATTTTACAGCCTATGTCTTTTCCTTGGCACGAAAACTTTACCAAACGACTGAAGCTTTGCCCGTTGAACTCTATCCATCAGGCAAAAACCTCTGCAGAAACCAAAACATTGGCCCTTTTGGCCCAACAAACAGTTGTATTATGACGGGTAAAGGTTATTTGCCCCACGAAATACTATTCGTTGGACAAAATTTTGTCGAGCAGATGGTAATTTCTGGTAGTGACAATAGTACATTGTATAATACATTTGACTGATACATATATCGGGTGGCTAAATTAAATTGCAAAAATTATCTTCGGCTTAGTGATTTCTCTTTGTGGGAGGGTAATGGCCCGTCCTGGCAAATGGACTGTACTTTCGACGATTATGTAAGTGTAGATTAAATAAGCGACATGTGTCGCTCTTTTTTCTTCCTTCGTTTTTTTCCACCCATTCAAAGTTTTATTAGACAATTGTGTATGCATGCCCTAGTTTGTACCGCGTTAGAGTTTTGCAGTTTAATGAAATTCATTTTCCCTAAAAAATAAAAGCCATATTAGTTGCTATAAGATATACTCATCTGAATTAAAAACAACAGATTATTTGGACTGCAGTCCGTTTAAAAACAACAAAATCTTCATCCTTTATTGATCAAGCATGCTTGTTCTTGTCTCTTCATTACTAATTAATTGTTATCAAGTAATAGGAGATGCTTAGATGATGTTGGTGAAGAGAATCTAAGGAATAGTCATCTGTACAACTCTTTTTGTTAATTCTTTAAACTGTTAAAGGATACGTATATATATGGGGATGCCAAAGCTTTGATATTTTGAGGCTTTTTTTGGCTTTTCATATCTATGAGTACAACTTTGAGGATAATATGTTAAAATGTTTTTTTTTTTTTTTTTTTTTTTTTTTGCGTGTCAAACGATTTGAAGAATAATTTTTGTAAACCAAAGAAAAGAAACTTTTACGCCCAACTTTTTCATCTTTTTGTTTTGTTATGGCTAAATGTTTTTCATTTATATTGTTCCTAAAGTGAAAGTCAAGGCTTTTCAAACTAAACTGGAAAGAAAAAATCCATATAATTAAGAGTAATGTTAGTTAGGAAGACTACATATTTATACCATTTAGTGTACCATATTATGTGACAAATAATTCATATAGTCATTAGTCAATAAGATGAATTCAGTAATTTACATGTCATGTATACATCATTTGTTACATCAAATGGTACATTACTATGATACAAAAATCGGAATTTGAATCATGCAATGGCCTAAACAAGGAGTTTCCAATTTTGCCCTTTGAATGAGAAATGGTGTCATTTTTATTATTACTATTACTCTTTCATGCAATATATATAGCCACCTCTACATATATGTATCTCCTCACATTCAGGCAGTATTAATTTCACTACTCAGTTTAACTAGCTGCTGCAGACACAGAGACAAAGAGAGAGAGAGAGAGAGAGAGAGAGAGAGAGATGGAAAACCAAAACCAAGAACAGCAACAGAGAGCAGGTACAGATGGTGCTTCCACTCGCATAACTGCAGCCATCTATTCAGAAGGCACACCACCCAGCAAACACTTTGATCTTGACCTTCAGCATACTATTGACCCCAAGGATGAGCCTCAGGTCTCTCTCTCTCTCTCTCTCTCTCTCTCTCTCTCATTTTTATGAAGCTTTTTTTTTTTTTTTTTAACAAAATAAAATGTTAAGTTTTCATCTTGTGTTTTTGTTGATTAATTCCGGTGATCATCATTAGAAACCTGGATGGAGAAAGTTTCTAGCACATGTTGGCCCTGGATTCCTTGTCTCTTTGGCTTACCTTGATCCTGGCAATTGTGAGTCACTCTTTCTCCCTATGTTATATACATGAAAGGTTTTCGCAGGTTCTGAATTTGAACCGCTGATTAAGTTGTTTTTATCTGAATGTGCAATTCAAATTCACAGTTTGACAATATAAATCTAGTAAAGGCACATTAACACATATATAGCTCAATCAACCTGCCATAACAATATTTTCATGTGTACATGCGTACATACATACATATATGTATGAGACTTTATGCTTTTGTTCTTCATTTGTTGATTAAAGTTCATGTTGTTTATGATGATCTTACAGTGGAAACTGATCTGCAAGCTGGAGCAAATCACAGATACGAGGTAATAAAATAAAATTCAGATAAAAATGAAAAAAATAAGACAATTATTAAAAACAAGCATTAAGAACAGATAAAAAAATACTGAAGATCGATCAAATTCTTTATATTTATTTGGCATTCAAAACAAAAGGTCGAAGCAGTGGTCTTAATTATAAAGATAATATATTGCGGTGCATGTATTCTCAGCTGCTATGGGTGATTCTTATTGGGTTGGTCTTCGCTCTCATAATCCAATCGCTCTCAGCAAACCTTGGCGTGACAACTGGTATGTAAATGGACAAATTATTTTAATCTAAAAAAATAGCATATTTAGAATATAATATATTTTATAGAAAAAAATAATTAGGGGAAATTCTATAATAAATAAATAGAAATTAAGAACAAGTTTTGTTTCTTATTGTTGTTGTTAGCTAAAATGGATTGGAGGATCGAGATAAGATAAACAGCTGATGCGATAGATGCTAAGAGATCGATCGAGGAGAGAAAGCAAACACAAGATTATATTATTCTGGACAAAGGAAAAATTGAAGATCTATCTATGGTTGTTTTATTTCAATTTAAAGAATAATTTTTATTTTTAATAAATTTCAGGGAAACATTTGTCAGAATTATGCAAGGCGGAATATCCACCATTTGTCAAATATTGTTTGTGGTTGCTAGCAGAAGTGGCCGTCATAGCGGCTGACATACCCGAAGGCAAATATATTCATTTCAAACTTAATTCATGTTTGCGCATTAACATGTGTGTGTATCTATCTATATACATATATAGTATAAGTGACGATTCTTTTAAGGGGTATCGTATGTATGTGTGTGTGTGTGTGTGTGTGTATTGTATAAGTGACGATTCTTTTAAAGAGTATCGTAGACTAAGCCTGTATGAATAAATTATAACGACGATTCTTAATTTGGAATGCAGTGATTGGCACGGCCTTCGCTCTTAATTTACTGTTCAATATTCCAGTTTGGACTGGAGTACTCTTAACTGGTTTCAGTACTCTCCTCCTTCTTGGCCTGCAGAGATATGGGGTAATTAATTTAATTGGTCATGTTAACTGCAAATCCAACTCTTAAGAGAATTAATTAGTTTAATCTTTTGTATATTATCTTTTTTAATTATTATATTAAATCACCATGTCAGTATACTAATCAAAATACTTTTGGGGTGAAACCCCATCATTGATATAAAATCAGATACTATTTTTTTAGATTGATTAATATGTAATGTATTTTGTCTTATTCACGTGTATTGAATTTATTTTACGGATAGAAAATATTTTGATTGGAGAATTCTCGATTTTTGTCTTAGAACGAAGATCAATATTGAGGCCTGGATCAATATTGATTGTATGTTTGTGGTTGCATTATGTGTATGGGCAGGTGAGGAAGCTGGAAATACTGATAGCAGTGCTGGTGTTTGTGATGGCTGCCTGTTTCTTTGGGGAAATGAGTTATGTGAAGCCTCCGGCATCGAGTGTGCTCCAAGGCATGTTCATCCCTAAGCTCAGCGGCCAACGAGCCACCGGCGATGCCATTGCCCTCTTGGGAGCCCTTGTTATGCCGTAAGTACATGTTTCGACAAATGCTTACGTCGTCAAATTATGATTCAATCAATGACAAAAATTAAATTAAAAACTGCTAGTATTATGTCATCTTACTTTTTATACATGTTCTTATATTATGTTGCTTGCTACGCCCGATCGCACGTTATATTACACTTACACTTAACTATATATTTTGGCAGGCACAACCTTTTTCTCCACTCAGCTCTTGTGCTTTCTAGGAAAATTCCGAAATCTGTCCGTGGCATCAATGTAAGTTCCATACATTAATTAATCAGCTTTTCTATTCAATTAGATTACAGTAAATAATTTATACATAACCTTAAATGGCATGAAGATCCAAGTAATTGGTTGAAAATCTCGAACTGATAATACTTGAATAATTTATAGAACTAATTATCAACTTAATGCTACACTGTTTGTCACCTTGCCTAGAGCACTTATGTTATCAAAGAAAAATTTAAACCATATTATAAGATGTCATCTTCCGTGAATCCAATTGTACTTGGGTTTTTATGAGTATTAAGCAAAGTCGAACCAAAAAAAAAAAGTGAAAGTTCCAATTATTGGCCTTTTAAGTTACAAATAAATCCAAAATATTATTAGAATACTGTGGATATACTAATTGTATACACACACACACACTCTAATAGACCCGTTCTCCTAAACCTCAGGGTCCTAGAAAATAGTGGTTACACATCGTTCAATTTTAGTCCAATAGTTGGTGGTTAATCGTTCAATTTTATTACAATAGTTGGTGGTTATTTAACTTTTGTTGTTATAGTTTTTGCTTCACTGTTGAATTAAAGATCGAATGGTGGATTACATCAATTTTTATTAAGCCTAGGTATTGGAGAACGGGACTATATAATATATAGCCTCCATTACTGTACAATTTTCTTAATTAATGCCTCGTGTACTTTATATTTAACATTAATTAATTGATTTTTTGCAGGATGCATGTCGATATTTCTTGATAGAGAGTGGATTTGCATTATTTGTAGCATTTTTAATCAATGTTGCTGTTATTTCCGTATCCGGCACCGTCTGCCATCAGAACGACCTCTCTGATACGGAGGACAAAACATGCAGTGATCTTACTCTCAACTCTGCTTCCTTCCTTCTCCAGGTACGAATTAACACCCCTCGCCCCTCTAATCTAAAGGACACGCATGCGTTTTCATATATATGACCAGCTTCATAGAAGATATCTTGACTACTGTTGCAAAAACAGACAAATACGTACCAGACTATCATAGGGATCACGTATTCAAATATACGAGGTCTTATATATTTCGTCGTCATTTCCATTTTTCGCTCCAAAATACAAAAATTACATACAGTATCTGCATGGTCCCTACAATCCTATCATTCCATTTTTGCTACATTAAACAGAATATGTGCTAAGGAGAAAATCATATACGCCTAACTAGTAACGTTCTCTTACCTTATAAAATCTCTCATTATATAAACTCATCTTATTTATAGACCAAATTGACAGTTTATCAACGTAACATACAATAAAATACTATTTCCCAATATAACACGAGATAACTAATATGTGCAGAATGTGTTGGGACGATCAAGCAAAATCTTTTATGCCATTGCACTATTAGCCTCAGGCCAAAGCTCCACAATCACAGGCACTTACGCAGGACAATTTGTCATGCAGGTTAATTTGAAATTTAACTTTTTCCTTTGTAGAGGAGTGCACTCTTCTTTGTGCATTCAAGTTCGAATTTCTATTCCCACAGTTTAAAGTAACGTAGAATAACTAAAATTGATGGTGATTTGCAGGGTTTTTTGGACATTAAGATGAACAAATGGGCTAGAAACCTACTGACCAGGTGCATTGCCATTACACCAAGTCTCATTGTTTCCATTATCGGAGGGTCTTCTGGAGCAGGCAGACTCATTATCATTGCATCGGTTCGTAATTAACTAAAATTTATTCAATTTTCTTCTCAAATTATTATATATATATATATATATATGATTTATATCCATAAATAATACCCAAAAATAATTAACTTAAGAGCAAATTTTTTAATGCATTTTGCAGATGATACTATCTTTTGAGCTCCCATTTGCTCTAATTCCGCTCCTCAAATTCAGCAGTAGTGCCACCAAGATGGGACCTCACAAGAATTCAATCTATGTGAGTAGTTAATTATCAAGTCCTTTGAGTTTAACTAGCTACTAATTAAGTAACAATCTACCGGACACAAAAAGTTTAAGTTGTTAAGAACATCAGAGCGACAAGTGAGTGATGAGGCTTGGAGACTAAAAAAATTGTATAGAAAGAATCGTGAAAGACGGAAAGATCCTTCGTATCAAGTCATACCATTCCATTATATTGACAATTTTAAAAAACTATTCATACTATGAACATAGCATGATGGCGGTCGTGTAAGCCTACCCCCATCGTCTAACGGTTCAGGACATCTCTCTTTCAAGGAGGCAGCAGGGACACGGAAGTCCGATACTGTATTTATGGGTCCATTTGGAAGTAAGAGGCTCCTCATAGGTGATTATGGCCCTTTCATAATCACTTCCAAACAGAATGGGCCCTATGTAGCCACTAAACCTGGAAAACTCATAGATAATGTATCAACAATGTATATCAAACTAACCCGCTAGTAGCTAGTACTGATTGAAAGTAACAATGCAGTGAATTTTGAATGCAGATCATTGTGATTTCATGGATTCTAGGTATGGGAATCATAGGCATCAACATCTACTACCTCAGCACAGGATTTGTGGGGTGGATAATCCACAGCAGTTTACCCAAAGTTGCAACTGTGTTCATTGGAATCTTGGTGTTCCCTCTCATGGCCATTTACATCCTTGCAGTCGTATACCTAACCCTAAGAAAAGACACAGTGGTTACTTTTATTGAACCCACAAACAACGACCCCGCAGCCCAAAACCAAATGGAAAGTGGGCTTCTCAATTCTAGTGACCTCCCAGTACCTTACAAACAGGACTTAGCTGGCATACCACTACCACAATAGAGGATATACATGTACATGTATATATTTATATGGCCGTGTTAGTCGAACTTAAGACCTGTTGGAGGAAATCGACCAGCGTTGCCACTTAAGGTTTAGAACTGGAAGATAGAGGCTCTTCAGCAAGCAGTAGAGCTCTTTTTGTATAATTAGTTGATTTTTCATCAATGTAACATGCGTGCATGTTATCTCTATCATTCCAATTTTATCGGATGTCCCCGAGAGGACTATGCGGTTTATATCAAGCATTTGAAGTTCTAGTATCAAGTATCAATCTACAATACCCAGCACATTCTCTGCGTAATATCACCAGCACTCTATTATGATATTCCTTCGATATTTTTAGAGTACCACCAAAATACTTGGTGTTAGATATTCTAATGAGAACTCTATCGAAATTTATTCGTAGCATAAAATAAAAACTAAAACCAAAATTATTATTAAACGGATGCTATAATTATTATTATTTTGTTGGTCATTATATCAGGAGCATAATTTACAGACTTAAAAATAACTCAACCATACTACTAGAGACATTTGAAATCTTCATCCTCTCAGAAACCTTTCACCGGCATGCCAGAGTTTTCGAAGGTGCATTACTATTTTCTAAACAAGAGGAAGAAAGTAGAAATGGGCAAGGAAATATTTTCCGAACGGGAAAAAAGGGTATCGGCTCCAAACATCATTTCACAACACAATTCATTTTTGGCTAAATCAATTTCAATAATCAAGAGAATGCACATACAGGCCCCCCTACTATCTGCCCAAAGTATCTTCTATGTAAACTAAAATAAAAATATGAGTCAGATTGATTGTGAATGCATCTATGTTATCCACTACCTCTTCCTTTCGGTTTCTTTCAACCTAGACCGGAGCTGGTACCTGGTACAGGCCTCAACATTGGATGATTTAGCGTCGGCTGGGCAGCCCCTGTGGCATTAAACATGGCATTTTGAGCCGATGAGGATGGCTGTATGGATGTTAAAGGCATCCTCGGCCCCAACCCTAGCATTGATTGACGTGGCACAAATGGCATGTGGGGATTGACTGATTGGTTGTTGCTGTATCCTGATATGCTCATTTGTGAAGCTGAAGGTGACATAATCTGTTGCCTATTGTTACCAACGTTATTATTTGACATGGAAGAACCAACACCTCCTAAACTCATGGGCGAAGCTCCAGCAGGTCCAAACTGAGTTGACATAATGCGAGCACGTTCACTAACCATCCTCTGCCTTGTCTTCTCCACTTGTTCACATTCTTTCATTAGGAAGGTTTCCACTTCTGCAAACTGCTTTAACTTCAGCTCCAATCTCTTCAACTGTCATAAATTGCACGCTAAAGATAAGAATACTAATCTTATTCAGTATGAGTATGACGTCATACAATATTAATTAAACCCTGCTTAGTAAGATATAGGTAACTCAAGGAACCAGACACTAGTAAAAATGTCAGGTGTTATGTTATGGAAATGTACGGCAATGTCATGCCCACATAGGCTTTTGAATTTCGGATAATATCCAGTGACCAAGGATATGACATTATCCCTGTGATTGTGTGAGATAGAGGACAGAATATGAAGTCGATAAACTTTTCTAATCATATAATAACGTTAATAAAAGTTGAAAGTTCAGCAAATAAAGCAGCTCCTGTCAAAATAAAACAAGTTTCTCAGAGCAAAAACACAATGAATTTCTGTGGATACAAGTGGGTACTCGTTTGGCCCATTTTCAATAGAGATGATCCATCTCGGGGTTGTACGCCCTGGATAACTTTTGGTCCAATACCCAGGTAAAGCTATCAACAGACACCAGACAAATTGAAATAAAATATCCAAGATCCTAAATACTGAATGACAATCACAAAGGACAGCTATACATGATTTGTGTTACGATTGGATTAATACGCGAGACAATAGTTCTTTAAATCTTCCAATTAACACATCAAAAAATGGTTTCTTAAGTACGCAGCTAAAGTCAGATTTAGAAAAGGACCTCTTAGTTTTGGTTCATAAGAGGTTCAACTCCATCTTCACTTATCTTCTTTTACTGCTTTCTTTTTTCGTCAGATAAGAAAAGTCTCATCTTTACCCATTAACCAACTATCAGACAGCAACTCATACTAGGAAAAACGGCACAAGTCTTGTTTCTTTTCTTTGTCAACTAATACAAGAAAAAGGAAAGAAAAAAAAATCTAATAAGGAAAGAAACAGTTACATTTACCAATATTTATACCTGATGATTTATGATATTAGCAGATAGCCTCTGAATTTCCCGTTCTTCGTGATCAGCAAACAATTTTGCTTTTATTGCAGCTGCAGCAAGCCCGGCCTTGGCAGCAGCTTTTACTTTTTCTGTAGGTATTGGAACCACACCTGCCTCATTTTGACCCCAAGAACCATGGCCTGCTGAGTTCTTTTCTGTAAATGAATCCATGAATAACTGGATTAGTTGAGAGAGAGATAACGAGTGAGAGAGAGTATGAAAAAAGAACATAAAGAACTGGCCTACCCTTTTGCGGAATTGAATTTGCAGAATTTCTATAAGTACCACCTTCTGTACCATGTATACTCTCAGGATTTATCCTTCATTGGTCAAAAAGAGATTTTAAGCAAACAGGAAAAGATTCGCAATATCAATAAAGAAAATATACCAATTACAATGAAAAACTTTTTGGAGTTTCCAATGTGTTCACTAGATTAGCAGTACAAGAGACCCCTCATCCTTTACTAAAAAAATTTAACCAGGCAACTTGACGGTTAAAAATAGAGAAGGGGGGAGGGGTGGTAACTGCGGATATTTAACCACTAAAAGTCCTATGAGCTCCCCAGGGAACTATTTTAGTATGAAAAATATAAAATGAGTCCACTGTAAACATTACAACAAAGGAAAAACACCTCTGGCCTGATCCTTCCATTATACTTGCAGAGGCAGATACACCATTATCCTCAGAAAATACCGTCAAGGCTGCATGGGCACAAGATGCAGCTACTCTTGGCCCAACAGAGGAGGCCAGAAACGAAACCTGCAAAATAATACACATGTTAGCTATGTAAGAACACAAGTGAAGTCTGGAATACCTTTCTCTCGCATTAAATTTGCATTATAATGGAAAACACAAGTGAAATCTGGGAGAACCTTTATCCCTATTGATAAATTCTGCATTCATGAATCTAGCTAGCGCCCCTCTAGACCTTTTTCAGCATGCCCTTAAAAGATTAATCAAATTACACAAGAATTCTGATAACACTATGTTAAGAGAGCGTGTAATCTTGTAATCTAATTACTCAACCCTCTATTATCAGTTTTGTCTAGTATTCTTTTTCTTTTGTCATTTGTTCTTGCACTAGTTGTAGGCTCACCTCAATACCACTCTCTCAAGAAAGTAGAGTTATTATTAAGTGAATGCTTTGCACCCTCAGAATGAATGTTTACAATGCATGGTCCTAGTCCCAACCACGCAATAAGAACAAAAAACTGAACCAAGAAAAATCTTTACAAGCTCCCATAAGCATGTATGCATTCATTATCTGAGTTGGTAACTTAGAATCAAATATACTCAGTTTATTACAATAATTGCCACTATCAAAATATTTATCCTGAGTCCAGACTGCAGAGTCTAGCCGCATCTGTTTAAAGCATTTCCATTTTCCAAACAGATGAAAAGTCGCATCATGAATAAATAAATAAATAAACATGCTTCCATTCTCTTTGCTATTAGGGGTGTGTCAAAGATACACAAATAAAGAACAAGTAATCTTGCTTCTTTTATATAACTGGGACGGTACCTTTCCAGAATACCTGCCCATATGTTTCAAGGGAACTATAAGAAAATAAAGGATCATGAAACATCAGATTAGTCACCTACCAGGGCCATGACTGGATTCCCAGAATTCGCAAAAGGGAACCTACTGTCAGAATCAGCATCTTGTAGGAAGGATCCTAAATACAAATTGTGAAAAGATAAGTTGGCATGTAATTTAGAAAATACATTAGGATTACTTGAGGATGAGAACCATAAGTAAATAAAAAAACCTGCTGCATTACCATTTGAACTTGAATGAAATCCTCCACGACCATCTCTATCCGACGAATTGGAAGACAGGGACACACCCGGAACTTCAATATTTTCAAGCAGGCCATCCTCCACAGGCAAACGAAGAAAATGAAGGATGCATTGTGCTTTTGACTTTGAACCGACATACTCAGCAATTTCGTTCCAGTTCTCATTGTGTATTTCCATTGCCTCGAGCAGCAATAGGGTTTCTTGATCGGTCCAACTTTCCCCATCCAAATCACCATAATCTTTTGTTGAATCCATCCGTACAAAATCTATGCTTGAATGACCAACAACATATCTTCCCTCATGGAAGCAATTAGAGCACAGCAATACATCAACCTGAAGCATAAGACACCAATTAACTACAGTAGAGAATAAGAATTCAACCAAACTATACTTATCCTAAGAATTAATATAATTAATTTGGTTCAGCTACAAGGATCCTTTGTCTCCACCAGTGTTGCCCCACCTTGGGCGGCCTAGGCGCTTGGCAGCTGGACACTGCCACGATTAATCTCTAGGCGTTTAAAAAATAAGAAGGGGCACCTAGACCTACGTAGGCATCTACCTAGCCCACCTAACCCGCCTAGACCTGCCTAGGCACCCCCCCCCCCCAGGTCGTGATTCTCACTTAGATAGAAAATAGATAACTTTCATTTTGCATTTTAGTTTTTCAATAAATTGTAAGAGACTTGTTGGATGCTTGGATGAATGGTCATTATATGAACGGTCATTATATGCTTGTTCCCCGTGTTTTCAATATGTTCTAGTACTTTTTAATTTATATGTTATTTAAATAAATTTAATTATAAACCGCCTAGGCCCCCACCTAGGCTCTAGGGCCCACCACCCCAACTAGCCCCTTTTATAACCTTGGTCTCCACTCAGACTCGTCAAGGTGATGTATTATCTTTAAACATATACAGGCAAACTTCAACGTCATTCAAATATAGCTAGGGTTTTCAAATGTGTTTCTAATGCCTGAAAGTTGAAACAAACCTGGAAGAGAATTAGTGCCTTGAAGACTGTTGAAATTAAGAAGTCAACTTTTGGTTTGTGCCCATCAGGTATCAACAAAGACTAGTCAAATTCATACGTTTGCAGCTAATCTTTTTTTAGAAAAAATCACAAAGTAAGGAGCGTTCAGGCAGTGTTTAGCACAAATAAATGGGCTACTTATTTTAAAATTACAATAAAATTTTATTTCTTTCTATAATCCTTTAATTTAACTAATTGAAGCCCGTAAAACAATATCACTTATACTCACTATCTGATGGAATCAAATAGAAGCAACTTTTGAACTAAATAAATCCCATTTTAGGTTTTTCTGTTTCATAATATCTTTCTACTGAGTAGGGAAAAAATATAAAAGATGAATAAGTTAATTTATCAGGGGAAATCTTGGGGTAACAAAGTTTCTTAATAAAAGTCAAAATCTCATTAAGTTTGAATTACCATGAGATTAAAAGTCAACTTACCTGTCTATCTATAATCAGTTATGAACTACCTATCAGATGGTTTTAAAGCTTTAGAGGTGTACTCGCATCCAAACTTGGCCCCCTCTTGCTAACTTGAAGGCATTAACTACATATCAGATGATTTTAAAGCTTTAAAGGTGTAATTGCGTCCAAACTTGAACAAAGGCTTGAACCAGCATTGCCATTGATAGAGCCACGAGCTAATGTGCTGGCGTTTACATAAAATAACATAACAGGCCAGAATCGCAGGTGTCGAGGACATGCTTTTAATAGTAATGCATCCAATATGGAAAAGGAAAATGTGGCAGCAATTACTAAATGTGACATTTGCGCTAAAAGTTATCATAAGAACCAGTATAATGCTCAATATCAAATCATGAAAGTTCAATTGCACTTGAGGATGCAATTGCACTTGAGGATGCCAATAAATTGAGTCAGTTTATATAACTAGTTAAATTTTCATTGAAAACTTATTGTCATATCTTGCAGTTGGCCTGGGAGTCACATCAACATGAAAATAACATGCCAACAAGTACCGCAGAGTATTGTTCTTGTGCAAAAGGGGGGGTTAGGAAGCTATCTAAACCAACATTCTGCCATTTAACACAAAAACTTCATTTCCGTACAATCAACTGTGTGTTAAATTGTGTCACATGTTGTCATAGTAACTACTTACTGCAGTTTCATTCATCCTTTGAAGAAAAAACACCACCCATTAGATAGAATTATGGACAGAAAAAACACAACATGAATGGGATGAAAGATATGTACCTCTTTCTGTGACTGATAGTATACACTGGGAAGAGAAGAAGAACAGTAATTGCAATGATTTTCAGATAGACGCTTCCAAATTGTGTTGTCCAAATCAGGGACATCATCATCACCATGACATGGCAATGACAAATAAACCTCAGCCGCCTTAAGCCTACATCTGGGCTTGTCAAATTTGATTAAACTATCAATGGACTTCAGAGCAGCTGATGGCACTTGAATCTCACCATTTACCTCCTCCCTTAAGTAGGAACTGCCATTGCACGGCTCATGACTGGGTGCTTCAGCACAGTAATTAATAATTCCCCAGTGATCAAGAAAACGAATTATTCGAGTCAAATCTTCGGTACTTAGACGACCTAATAATTGTTGGAAATCAGAAAATGCAAGCCTCTTCTCTGGATTTTCCATGTATTTGGCAACAATTTCATTCCTACAATGCATGTATAGCTCAGGAGTATGATCTGATGATTTTCCTGAGAAAAAATGTGGCACCACCTGTCTCTCCAGTCGATGCACTGTGGCAGGTGAAAACCAATCTGCAAACAGGAGAATCCCAACAAGCAGAAATCCATATTCAATATGCATCTATATATGCAAAAAATGCATTATAAACGTGTACAGCAGTTTGCCACAAAAGAAATCTCAAAGCTTTAAGGTGCAGATAATATTATAACCATATACGATACTCGCTTCATATAAAGGAATCCAAAACCTTCGAAAGGTTAGCTTCGTCAGAACCCAAAAGTAAACCTTTTGTTTGGGAGAATATCAGAAAAAAGCCTCTCATTATGTCCTTTTCCAATCACATAACTGTCATAACGTCAGTCCAGTGTTAGCAAATCAAACAAGTGGCAAGTGTTGAGTAAGGTCAGTTCAATTAGCCTACCATGAAAGTTCCATAAGACACTAGCATAAAAGTACAACAAAGATTTTCCAGAAAAACCAATCTCGAAAAGAGTTATTAAACATCCACACTTCCCAGCCACTTTCTTGCACAACAAAACAAATATGAAATTCTGCAGCTAACAAAAGTCTGATGAAACTTGAATTCCCATTAGTCATTACTTCAGAATATGATCCAACAGATAAACCAAATAAATTGCACAAACCCAGCAGCAATTTTGCAGTGAAATTCGAGGAGACAACAATTAATGCAACCCAACAAATACCCAAAAAACTGTAACATATGGAGCTTCAACTATCCAACCATAAAATACCCAGAAATTCTACTGCTTTAGCAACTGTTTGCCACTTTCTTTAGCTCACAAGTAACTGAGACTGAGAGAGAGTTGGATAACACATACACACCTGCGTGCATTGGAACCACATGAACTCTGTTCCCATATCGCTTCACAACGCCACGGCCCTCCATAATCGACGGCGGTATGACCACGTAAGCCGCCCCGGAGCCATCTGCACGGTCCGGATCCAACGCCGGACTATCGGCAGGCACGCCGGACAGCGCCTGGAGCTGACCGTACGACACATTCTCCAATACAATCGGACTGGCGGGCCCCTTGGCATCCCCGCCGCAATGATTGGCTCGCTCGAGGGCGACAAGGGCAAAAACGGAGGAATGGGGCCGGTTGACGGTGCGCAAAACGACGGGAGGGAAGTCGCTTACGCGGACCCCACCGTCGAGGACCTCGGTCTCGTGAGGGGCGGGATCGGGTGCGGGAGCGGATTGGGGGTTATGTTGGGGGTCCTCCGAGTCGTCGTTCGGGTCGAGCTCGTTGTCGTCGGCGTCGTCGTCTTCGTCGTCCTCGCGCTTGTTCCGGCGAATTTGGGGGTCGCGCTTCCGCTTCCTCCATTTGCCGCGGGAGTCTGTGGAAAATTCAAGACAATGATGGAGTGAAAACAAACAGAAATTATGGAGCGCCGATTGCTGTGTGTGTGATTAATTGAAATGTGAGGGTCTGAATTTCTAGAGAGAGAAAGAGATGTAGAGAGAGGGCTTAGGTTTGAGTTTTACCTGAAGGAGAAGCAGGCATTTTTAGGAGAGAGAGTGAACTGGAGATTTGTGGGGACTTTGATTGGCGCAGAATTAGAAATCAAAGGCAGAGAGACACATGAGAGAGAGAGTGTGTGTAGTGCTTTGCCTTTGAATTGTGGAACTTAATTTCCCGACTCTGAAAATTCTAGTTTTCAGGATTTCCTTTTCCTTCTCTCTTTTATTCTTTGTTTTTCCCTTCTTTTTTTTTTTTTTTTTTTTTTTTTTTTTGGGTTTAATTTCTTGTCTTTTTTGTCATTTGCTTCTTTAGTTGTGTCACGCGTCGTACATGCACAATCATCGATTCATAACTTTTTTTTTTTTTTTTTTTGTAGTGGAACTTAATTTCTCGACTTTGAAAATTCTAGTTTTCAGGATTTCCTTTTCCTTCTCTCTTTTATTCTTTGTTTTTTTTTTTTGGGTTTAATTTCTTTTCTATGTTGTCATTTGTTTCCTTAGTCGTGTCACGCATCGCACATGCACAATCATATATTCATAACTTCTTTTTTTCTGTACTTACGAAGCGCGTTATACACACTTAATTAGTCAAATTCAATTCCTTACGCATGTAACTTCTTCTTTTTTCGATATTAACAATGTACATTGTATATGCACTTAATCAGTATTATAGAATGCTAGCAACTTTTCTCATTTGAATCTTCTCATTGTACATTTCCAGCTCTCCTTCTCATCTTATAATGCTACATGGCAATTTGGACGGTCAATTTTCTAAGTCATCCTTTAAAGATCAAATCTACCCAAAATCAATCTAGATCTTAAACCATTTATTCATCTTAAACTTTTTAATAGATAAAAACCATGTTATTAAGGTTTTTTTTTTTTTTTTTTTTGAGAAACGATACGATATTCATTAAAAATCAAAGAATACGTACAACCTAAGGATAGTGTACATACTGAGCCTCGATAAAAATCTCGTCAGGGCTTTGAACCTGATCTAAGGGAAAAAGAGTGTCCCACACAGCAATAAAACCTATCACCAGCTGAGCAATAAAGAAATTACAATCCCTCCTCTACTAACTATTGGTTTGGTACTGAGGTGCTTTTATAAAAAGTGGGTATCAAAAAAAGTTGAGCTCAAAAAGGTGTTTGGTAAACACTTAAAAACAACTTATTTTCACAGTTTTGAGTGGAAAAAAAAAACTGAAAATGTGAAGCAACAAAAATGAGCTTATACTCACAGCACAGCAGAAGCAGTTTTTTTTCAAAGCACAGCAATACCAAACCAGCCCTAAGACATCTTGAAGTAAGTCTGGAGGCTCCTTGAACCACATAATCTCCTGAGAACTCCCAACACACATACGAGAAAGGCGATGAGTAGCTAAATTACCTTCCATCTGCACATGATTAAACCTCAAGTCAGCTATCCCTCTTAGGAAAAATCATATATCATTTATTACAAGACCCAAAGGTGAGCAATCTTCTTCTTGATCCTTCATTGTCGCTAACACCAAGCTAGAATCTCCTTAAAAAATAACCTTCCAACCAAAGAAGACAATCATTTCGAACTAATAAAACTGCTTGTCAAAGAGTTAATAATTCTACATGAAATGCAGATTGAGTCAACACAAATGGACCTGCAGAAGCCACCAAAAATGCCTCCAAGTGATTACGAACTACGATCCTAAAGCCCCCTCGACATCCATTTCGACTCTATGCCCTATTGAAGTTGCATTTTACACACCCAACTTCGGGTTTTTGCCACTTCTGCACCTCTTGCCGAGTCTTCTTAGTTGCTCCCTTATGCCACTTTTGAAACTCAATCAACCAACCCTCAGCTATAATCACAACCTTCTGCGGCGAAAGCATCCTACCGTTCCAAAGCATGTCGTTCCAATGCTTCCAAAGAGCCCAAATCAACATCAAGCAAAATTCAAACCCAGGTAGCTGCAGCTGCACCGATAACCAAGAAATCCATTGCATTAGAGATATCCTATGATCCATCTCCACCCTCAGTCCCAAACTCCGAAGCCACACCACCTTTGCCAATGTGCAATCTCATAAAACATGCTCAACAGACTCGACTTGCCTACCACAAACAACACACAAATCTTCAATCATCATGTGTCGTTTATAAAGATTCGAGCGTGTATGTAACTGATGCAAACTAAATAAGCACACAAATTAAAACCCTCTTGTGACAATTGTAGTATAAGTATAAGTAGGGATCGTTCTGGACCAGGGATTAGGAGGGATTGTTAATCACTTGGATTTGACTCAAAAACGTAAAAACACAATATAAAACACTATACTAGACTCAAAGAATGCAAAACTAAACTTTAAAACACCAAAACAAACCAAAAGACTCAAAACTGCCTTAAAAACACAATCTGGGCAGTTTTGAACACTAGACACAACTTTGGACGAAAATTGGTTTTAACTTGACCTAAGACACTTAAAAACACAACTAAAGTGATTTCTAACTACTATGACTCAACAAAGTAAAGGGGGATTGGTTTTGGACGAATTTAAAAACAAAACAAACTTTTTGAATTAGAACAGATTGTAAAAACGAATTTAATGGAATTGAATGGATGGGAAGCTAGCTAAGGGGTTCATCTCCACACATGTTATACTTGCACACAAAACGATTTCTAATTGCTTTTCAATAAACCATGAATTCTCAACGCCCCAGATTAACCGTGAATTGCACTAATTAACCCTCAGATTTTCCTAACGTTATTGAATTGGATGATTGCATACGACAACCCAAAACATTCCCCACAAGTCCCCTACATGATTGCATAATAAAGATACAAGCAAGAATCATTAAGTTTTATGAAAACCATAAGCATTGACGAAGCACTTGTTACTATGATTGCATGAAACTTATGCCAAGAATTTACTTAACGCGATTGAGATCATCAACCTTTACTACTTGTGAATATAATTCCATAACGATTAGGTGAAATTTCCTTATATCCTAGCATTAGATTTACGCATGATAATTAAGCGTGCACTCTCAACCAACACACACAAAGCAATGTAACTCACATAGATAAGTAAATTGAATTCACAACTTATGAAACGCAATTGGAAGTAATCAAATCATATTGCAAACATAAACATGTATTTCGAATCACCCCTAGCTAATGGGGGGTTTAGTTCCTCATACATACAAAACAAAGATAAGTAAATTTAACCATTGAAATCAAGGAAAAGAAACACCTAAAAATTCCAACAACTCAAACTTGAATTGTATGAACGTTTAGGCCCTTCTCTTCCTCTTTGTTGCGGCACAAGGTCTAAGGATAGTGTTTTGGAGGGTATTTGTATGTGGAATGGAGTGGGGGTGCACGGCAAAGCTTTCTTGTTGTTGGAATGTGTATGCACGGCTTTGGGGTTGTGATGGTGTAGATTATGGAAGAATTTCTGTGGTGAATGGAGGTGTGGAATGAATGATTGTGTTTAAATGGTTTAAAATAGGAAAGAAGGCCCTTCCTTGCCGTGCAAGGAAGGGAAACACCAAGGGGATACACGGCATGGCTTAAGGTTGCAAGTTTTGTGACCTAGAATAGGTAGGAACCTTCTTTGACTAAGATTCCTCATTTGATTAAGAATCCTCTTCAATTTCGTTCATTCCTTTTGCTCCAAACGTAAGCTATCCATTCCAAGCCCAATTTTGCTCCAAAATGCTCCAAAATGCACCTTTTTGCTTCCTTAGCCATATGAACCTAGAAACACACGAAAATGGCATAAAGGACTAAAATAACTAAAGAAACACAACGTAAATGCACGAGAACAAGCCAATTAAGTCGCATAAATATGCTCCTATCAGTAAGTAATGATCTTGAACACATCTAAACACGCACGCCAAACATAGATCTTAACCTTCCCCAATACACATGTATCCCATAGCTTCTTCTAAAATTTATCACCCACACCACCAAAAGATAAACCCAATGCTAATGCACTTCCTTCACTAGACCCTAGGAGGGCTCGTGCTACATGATAAGCACTCCTCACTGTCAACTTACCATTTCGTTCGTAGTGCCATATGCGACGATCCTCCACATTCCTCAAGCTAAGAAGGATGATTCGAAATACCTCAACTTTCTTCAGAGAAAACAACTCATCCAATAACTATCGTTCCAAATACGTATACTTCTTCCATTGCCCACCTGCCACCATGTTCCCTTCTGAATCACCCCCCACGAGGCTACAATGCTACGCCACACAAATGAGTTGTTTGCATTCACCCGAGCCTCCAGGAACTCCGTCGTAGGAAAATATCGAACCTTCAATACTTGAAAAGCCAACGACTCAGGTTGATGCATAAAACGCCAAGCTTGCTTTGCCAACAAAGCCAAATTAAATGCATAAAGATCCATAAATCCAAGCCCTCCCTCACTCTTTGGTTTAGTAAAACAACGTTAATTAAGCCAATATATTTTCCGTTTGCCCGGATCCTCACTTCACCAAAATTTTGCAATCATCATATTCAACTCTTCACAAAAAGATTTAGGAAGAAGAAAACATTGCATAGAATGCATTGGCAGAGCTTGGGCAACTGTTTTCACCAACAACTCCCACCCTGCACAACTTAGTAAGCCTCATCTCCAACTTTGCAATTTCTTCCAAAGCCTATCTTTCACATATGAAAAAGTTTCCTTCTTAGACTTCCTAATTAGGACCGGCAGACCCAGATATCTATCGTGAAAATCCACCATCCTCATGCCAAGGCAATTAGCAAGCAATTGCTTATCCACACTAGTGAGATTAGAGTTAAAAGAGACACAACTCTTCTCAAAATTCAATGTCTGCCTCGAGGTCCCCTCATATGTTCACACCACATGCTTAATTTTCTGACATTCACATAGGGTACCACGAGCGAACAAAAAACTGTCATCAATGAAAAACAGATGATGAATACTAGGAGAATTACGACATACCTTAACTCCCTGCAGCTCCCCTTTGTTTTCCACCTTTTATAGTAGTGTCAAAAGACCTTCGGCACAAAAAATAAACAAATAAGGTGAAAAGGGGTCCCCTTGCCGAATACCCCTTCCCCGAATTCACATAGCACACTGATTCCCCATTCAGCTTGAAGGAGTATGTCATTGTTGTAACACAAAGCATAATCATACTAATCCACACGTTAGAGAACCCCATACGAGACATCATAGCCTCAAGAAA